AACTTTATTTCGAAGTTTTTGTCATGAACATGTTAATAACTTTACATTAAAATCAAATTTTATTTTATTTTCAATAGTGCCAACAAAATAATTTTAAAATTTTAGAAAAAGTATATGAATTATTATAATAATACGATATTATTTTAAAATTTATCACTCAAATTTTAATTTATTTTATTATTACGGCAATTATATTATTAATTTGAAAACGGAAGGTAAACGCTGCGTTTAACTCTGTCGCATAGCTTAATTTTATAACGACAAAAAAAAAAACTGAACCCTAAGGGGAGGCCCTATTATTTTTGCAATCTAGCTGAACGGGGATTTCCCTGTGCAACTGCATTTTCTTCCCCTTTCCACAGCAGCGATTTTAGAGTTTAAATCATAGAGATTTAATCTTTTTTGTTCGCAGATATGTTCGATTATTAATTCGTTCCTTCGAAAATAATCACATGGAAAGGGAACGCACGCGGAAACGCCCTCGTCTCGCATGGGACGTAGCCCCTCCCACAGTGCCCGAGGTAGGGTTCTTTCAATTTCCCAATTCGGGTTGGATTAGGGTTTCGTATTCAAGTGTATATCTCAGCTCTTTACATTGTTCAATGTAGCCTCAACTGGCTCTGCCGGTACCTGGTGACGAAGGAATTGAAAGAAAGCACGCTTCACCTCCAAGAAGGGACGACGATCGCGAAGGACATTATGTCTTCAATCTTGGCGAAAATCTCACTCCTAGATGTAATTCTTTTAGTGCTAAGGATTTCTAGTAATTTAATTGTCCTATTTAGATGAATTTGAAAAATCAGATTAATTCAGGTTAAAATTTTAATTTTATTTATCTTGTAAAAAAAAGCAAATATTAATCTGTTGGATTTTGTCATCACTAATGCAATACTGCTGGGTTTTCTTTTTGTGCTAATATATTTTTTTTTTCATTTTTAAACAGATAAAATCCTCGGCAAGATGGTGAAGGTTAGCGTCAAAGTTGTCTCTCAATTACAAAAGATTTTAATTTTTTTGTCACTGTGCTTGTGTCATTCAGCATGTTGCTAGTGCTGTAGGCACATTTGGTCGGGTATTGGAATGTTGGGACCGCCAAAGTAGAGAATATGTGGCTGTCAAGGTGGTTAGAAGCATACGGAAATATCGCGATGCAGCCATGCTCGAGGTTGACGTGCTTCAACATCTAGCAAAGAACGATAGAGGAAACTCACGGTATGAATCCTATGGAGTAAACTGGATACTAGAATTTGTTTATTGCTCATTGCTTATCCTAACAGGGGACGATTAGTATTTATTTCATTCTGTATACTATTTGCAGATGTGTGCAGATCCGAAATTGGTTTGATTACAGAAATCACATATGCATTGTAAGTATGCTTATTGTATTTCTTTTAAAAAATTCATTTCCTTGATTTACTACATTCAAAAAGTTTATTTTGAGAAAATTGATGGAGTAGGAGATGCTTTGTTACTTTTAAGAGGTGGGGATGAGGAGGGGTTATTTTTTGAGAATGGAATGGAATGCTTGAAATTTTAATTAATCTGGATTAGTTTTTTTTTTTCTCTAGTGCTATGTGCATGCCTCTTTGTTCTCTGGTCTTCTTGTTCTTTGGGAAGGATAAGTGATTGATCCTCATTCATCTTGCAAATGAATGAATGTTAAGTTCTTCACCTATAGTGTTTTCATTTATGTCCGTGTGGGCTTTATTCATGGATTTGATAACTGAGCAGAAACATTCCTTTCAATGCATTTTAATGGTGTTATCAGGTCTTTGAGAAGCTTGGACCAAGCTTATTTGATTTTCTAAAGAGAAATAAATACTGCCCATTCCCTGTGGATCTTGTTCGGGAATTTGGACGACAGCTTTTGGAATCTGTAGCATGTCTGTGGATTATTCTGGCCTCAGTTTATAATTCTCTCTTGGTTCAATTCCTAAGTCCTCTTCTTGCTTACACTGATCAAACCAGGGCTTCCCCTTGGCCTGCTTCTTTACCAGGGATCAGTGTAGTCTTAGTTGTGTCTGCTTACTTTAACTTTTTCTTATTCTTTATCATATTCAGATATGCATGAACTACGCCTAATCCACACCGATCTGAAGCCAGAAAATATTCTTCTGGTTTCTTCTGAATATGTAAAGCTACCTAGCTATAAGGTATTTGACATTTTTTGGATGGCAACTTCATAATGTTTTGGTAGACCTCGTTATAATATATTTAAGAAATAATTGGATTGGTACAGAGAGTTTTTTCCATTCCTCATATGAAACGCAGTTCAGGTGCTTGCCCAAGTCAGTGCTATTTAAAGCTATTGATTTTGGTAGTCCTCATATGATATCAGAATCATACTCCATTGTTTCTAACAAGGCTTACAACAGAGCCCCGAGAATTATTCTAGGTAACTAAGTATTGTTTTTTGGCCGCTCAAAATGGTTTACTTTTTTTCTAATTGCCCTGTCAAGGTGTGTAACATAGAAAATATGTGGTGTTTGAACCAAAATTATGGATGATGGCTAAAGTGCATGTTGAAATGTTGTCAATTTGTACAGAACTTCCGTTTTCAAACTTCCAGGGGAAACATGCTTGTTTGTAACTTTATATTATCCTGAACTTTTGTTGTCCGTATTGGCTGGTAAATCCTCTGCACTGTAGTAAAATACATTTTTTACAGTGTTTCTCTCATTATTTTGCATGCTTTATGATCTATTGTCTTGCACTACCTTTTGGTGCCCCTTGTTTCACATGCGATAATTTTCTACCTTGTCCTTAAGTGGACTGCTTGTTTGGATCTTTTCTTAGGTAGATGGTGTGAGGTATGATAAAAAAATATGGAGTGTCCAAATCTATCGTGATCTGATTGTAAGGAGGTCATCAGAGACTGCTATAATGGGTTATTCCATAATTTAGTATTGTCTGACCAAATAAAATTAGACTACCGGAATCTGTAGCATATAATGTGTTCTTGTTAATGTATTCTCACTGGCATCTTTAATTATAATTGCAGGTCTAGGCTGGTCATATCCATGTGATCTGTGGAGTGTTGGATGTATTCTTATTGAACTAATGCACGGTTTGTTTTCCATCTATCAATATATATTAGGTGTGACTTGTAATCTGGAACAACTAGTCTCAGGGTCTAAATGTGTGGACTTTTGTCAGGGTGAGGCGTTGTTTCAGACTCATGAAAACTTGGAGCACCTGGCAATGATGGAAAGAGTTTTGGGACCTATTCCAATCCCATGAATGCGAAGGTCCAAGTAAGTGCTATTTATAGATTTTTTTTCTTAATTCCCTTTCCGTGAAGTCTTGTGAAACACAAGCGGAACCTTTACACAACATCCGACTCAATACTTAGTAAGGGCGCAGAAAAGTATTTCAAGCGTGGATCAAGACTAAGATGGCCTGAAGGAGCTATTTCCAGAGAGAGCATCAATGCAGTAAAGAAGCTTGGTCATCTGAAGGTTTGTTATGTTTTCTACTGCCTGCCTTATCAGATTCCGGGTTGAATCTTCAATTAATTAGTTGGTTGTAATGACCTATAATTATTCTTAATGTAGGATATTGTATCTCGAAGTGTGGACTCTTCAAGGTCCTCTTTAACTGACTTGTTACATGGGTTATTGTCATATGACCCAACCAAACGGTTAACCGCTCTTCAAGCGCTCGATCATCCCTTCTTTAGGAATCCAACCTGAGAAAAGCATATTAGGACAATCCAACTTGAGCAGCATGGGTTGGGAATGACTTCCATGGTAGCGATTGTCGGTTTCACAGGCTATAACTTTGATGTATCTTATTTCTTTATTCGTTCTAGGCAATGGTTCAAGCGTGTTAACTTGTACTTTAATTTTATCTTCTTTGTTTTCATTCATTCACCCGCTATTTTAAAATTAGGAATTAAACTTAATTGTTTTTTTTTTTTTTTTAATTTTCAAACCCACTTTATGTGCAGTATGAAAACTCTACCAGCATAAGTATAAACCCACCTCAGCTTAAGTATAAACCTAATCAGGTGGGTAACGCAAATTTGTTGTGCGTTGAAGTATGCGAAAATGAGCAGGCCAAAGCCTTCCGGGAAGGGAATGAATTCAGTATCGAAATAACGAGTGTTTGTTTTGATTGGACGACAAATCTGGTCACATTCAGATTTCGAGTGATGATTTGGTTTTTAAAGATTTTTAACCTTGAATTTTATAATTTGTATGATTTTTCTAAATGTTGATAATTTTTATTCATAACTATAAAAAGAAGATTTTGTTTTAGTATTATTATTATTATTATTTATTTAAACAAGTGTTTGTAATATGATTTCTATCCGTTGTCATCCCTCTATCATATTCAAAACTAGAAAATAAACAAAAGAAAGGCCAACCATACTTTTAGGAAATCTAAATGTACAGAATCAAAGAAAATGAATTTGATGGTAAAGTACGAATCTAAATTACAAAATAAAAAAATTTCTTATGGTAAAAGAACATAAAACAAGAGATGACTCCCTTACAAAATTCCTTTATAATCTCCCCTTTCACACATTTCATGTTGAATTTACAAACGACACAATATGAACGAACCTCCCTTTCCTCTACTTAGTCGTTTATATATAACTCATTAACCTTATGTAACTACTCAATATAATAAGGGTAGTAAGTAACTCCCCTTCTTTCTAATAGTCACTTGTAATTGGACATAACAGTGACAATTGAAGGATGGTGGCATTATTGACTTATTCAACATAGAATTCAGACTAGATTGATCCAAATTACACTATCAATATTTCAATGATGTAACAAATCCAAATTATTTTTCAGAAGAATTAAATTTTCATCCCTACTTTATTTCATCGACCATATTTTCTATCAGTGAAGATGACCGTAATTTTTTTCTCTCCTATTATTTTATTATTTTTAAAAGTTCAAGAAATCATCTGATTGTATTTTTATTCTGTTTTATGTTTCAATCATCTGTTTTATGTTTCCATTTAGGGAATAGAAGTGCAAGAACTTCAGTTTGCTATAATACATGCCAATAGGGCAATTTGGTTATAATTAGTATCATTTCACCAGTAATCTCCACATGAACAGAAGCCGTTCCTCAAATCGTGAAACCTATTTGCATCTCTCACCACAAAAACAATCTTCAAAACCTTTGACAAACCCTTGATGAATGCATGACAATCCCCACAAACCCTCAAGTTCTTGAAAATCCTAATCACCCTTTCTACTTTCAGTCCCCGTCTAACCAAAACCAACCCAATAGCCAATTTCTCGCTATGCACCCTCAAACTTTCTACCTTTGACTCCTCTTCAACATCATGCAAGGAAAAATTTACACCATGAACATACCCCATTTCATCCTTCACCCTCTTCTCCACTTCTTTCAACACTTCATGAATTTCCCCTATGAGAGGATGCATGCCATCTCCATTATAAAAAATATGAATTTCCTTGTCTATCTCTACCCAACTGCGTCCTGCTTCTTTCTTCAATCCCTTTCTCTTCGCGGTTTCTCTTAGTTTCTCACTCTCTTTCCAATACCCTCCAGCTGCATACATGTTTGAAAAAATGACATAGTTGGCTGGATTATTACCATCCAATCTCATAAGTATTTCTCCCACTTGTTTCCCCATTTCCACATCTGCATGCATTCTACAAGCACTAAGTAGTGTTTGCCATATGCCCACATTTGGCATTAGGGCCATTTTCTCAATGAGATCCTTTGCATCCTTTAAGAGTCCACCTCGTCCAAGGAGATCAACCATGCAAGCATAATGCTCTACTTGAGGTTTGATTTGCTGATTTCTACATAAACTAGAGAAGTATTTTTTACCTTCTTTGATGAGTCCAGAATGGCTGCAAGCTGTGAGCACAGCTAAGTAAGTTACACTATCAGGTTCTATTCCGTTCATTTGCATTTGGTTAAACAGTTCAATTGCCTTGTTCCCAATACCGTGTTTCCCATAACCAGTGATCATAACGGTCCATGAAACCACATTTCTTGCTACCGTCTCTCTGAAAAGTGCATCCGCCTCATCTATTAGCCCACATTTCATGTACATATCCAGCACTGAATTAGCCACAGACATTTCCAATAAACCATACGGCACTTTTATGGCATAAGCATGCATTTGCTTCCCTTGCTCTGCAAGAGCAAAATCAGCAAATACCCCTATGAGACTCGAGAGTACAAACCCATCCATTCTATGTCTGCTCTCTCTCAACTCCCTAAACAAGTTCATTGCTTCTGACAAATTATCTTCATGTGCATAACCAAGAATTAGTGTGCTCCAAGACCTCACACTCTTCTCTTCAATTCGATGGAACACCCTCCTAGCTTCAGCCATGCGCCTGCATTTGACATACAGATCAACCAAAGCACCTGCAACAGCTGATTCAGCCAAGTAAGGAAATCCATGTCTGATTAACGCAGCATGGATTTGCATTCCTTCTCCCACCGCACCAGCACAATTACACGCCTTCAACGAGCTTGAATATGTATATCCATCTGGAACTTCCCCATTCGCTTGCATTTCACGAAATAGACTCAAAGCCTCTCCACCATTACCATCGTTGCAGTGCCCAGCAATCATTACATTCCAACTTATAACATTTCTCTCTGTCAGAGTGTTGAACACTTGCGCTGCCTCCCTAACCATCCCACACTTGGAATACATGTCCATCGTAGAATTGCCCACAACAGGTACCCAATCAAAATTAGATTTTGCACAAAAGCCATGTATCTGCATTCCATTCTGAGCGATTCCCAAAATCCCAGATGCTTTAAGACTTGTGGATAGTGTGAACTCATTTGGCCTAACATCTGAACGACCCATTTTAGAAAACAAAAGCAAAGAGGCTCTGGCATCACCATTTTGCAGATATCCACACATTAGAGCCGTCCAAGACACTACATTTCTCTGAGACATTCGAACAAACACCGAACAAGCCAAATCCATGGTACCACATTTTGAGTACATATGTATAAGATCATTGTTCAAAACCAGATCAAGTCTAAACCCTAGTTTCTCCACAACCCCATGTGCTTGCTTTCCCTGACCAAGCAAACGACGCTTCGAACACTTGTTCAGAATCTTACTCAATAGTCGACCCTCGCTCATCGATGGGAGTAAGAGAATTAGAAAACCGTTTTGTCGCAACCCTGAGAACCTGCTCGAAAATCGCGGAACTGAAGAAGCTTCACGCTCACATCGTGAAGTTATCACTGTCACAGAGCAACTTTTTGGCCACCAAAATGTTGGATCTGTGCGACAACTTGGGTCACGTGGATTACGCGACCTTGATATTCCAAAACCTAGAGGACCCAAACGTGTTCTCTTACAACGCAATAATCAGAACCTGCACTCATAATCACAAATATTCTCTAGCAATTTATGTGTTCAAAGAAATGCTGAGACATGCAACGAAATCAGCACTGCCAGACAAATTCACGATCCCTTTTGTGATAAAGTCGTGTGCAGGCATTCCGTGTCGTCGCCTCGGGCAGCAAGTTCACGCGCAAGTGTGCAAGTTTGGACCCAAGTCGCACGCAATAACAGATAACGCGCTGATTGATATGTACATGAAGTCTGGCGATTTGAAAGGTGCATACCAAGTATTTGAAGAAATGACTGAGAGAGACGCAGTTTCGTGGAATAGTTTAATCTCGGGGCAAGCGAGGCTGGGGCAGATGAAGAGTGCGAGGGAAGCGTTTAATGAAATGCCTTGTAGAACAATCGTGTCTTGGACGACTATGATTAATGGGTATACTAAAGCAGGGTGTTTTGTGGATGCGTTAGAGATTTTTCGCGGGATGCAAGTGGTGGGTATTGAGCCCGATGAGATAAGTGTTATATCTGTTCTGCCGGCGTGTGCACAGCTTGGGGCTCTTGAAGTTGGGAAGTGGATTCACAGATACTCGGAGAAAAGTGGGTTTTTGAAGAAGACTGCTGTGTGTAATGCACTGATTGAAATGTATGCTAAGTGTGGCTGCATTGATGAAGCTTTGGGGTTGTTTTATCAGATGGTTGAGAAGGATGTGATATGTTGGAGTACCATGATTGGGGGACTGGCGAATCATGGAAAAGGGTATGAGGCAATTCGAGTTTTTGAAGATATGCAGAATGCAGGAGTGGCTCCTAATGGGGTAACATTTGTTGGTGTTTTGTCAGCATGTGTTCATGCAGGGTTGTGGAAGGAGGGATTGAGATATTTTGATGTTATGAGGGTGGATCATCATTTAGAGCCAGAGATTGAGCACTATGGTTGCCTAGTTGATCTTCTAGGACGCTGGGGACGGCTTCATGAGGCTCTTGACACAATAATGAAGATGCCAATGCAACCAGACTCCAGGATATGGAACACTTTGTTGAGCTCTTGCAGGATTCATCGCAATCTTGAGATTGCTGTTGTTGCCATGGAACAGCTTTTGGAGCTTGAGCCTGAAGAGTCTGGAAACTATGTGTTGCTTGCTAACATATATGCAGAACTTGGGAAGTGGGAAGGTGTTTCAAATGTTAGGAAACTCATCAGAAGCAAGAGGATAAAGAAAACACCGGGGAGTAGCTTGATTGAGGTTAATAATATAGTTCAGGAATTTGTATCCGGTGACGATACAAAGCCCTTTTCACAAGATGTTTTCACGATCCTAGAAGGGCTGACTTTACACCAAACTACAGCCAGTGACTTCATGGAGTTTGAGGAAGAAGATGCAGGCCAAGGCCAACTTTACAGAAAATTACCACTTTTTAATCAATTTCTATAATAAATTATTTATTCAGTTCTCTTAAAATACTTGTCATTGATTTTCATTCCTCGAAAATATTATATTAGTGTTTCGAGTCCTAATATTCGTTTTATAATAATAGATTAGTTATATCTATTTTATAAAATTTTGAAACTTTTTTAGATTAAACATGTTTGTGTTAGATTTTTATCCGGATTGCAAAGAAAAATATTACATGAAATTTTAATAAAATTATTTCATGTGTTTGGCAAAGTAACCTTTTTAATAGTTTTCATCTTAGAGATACATATATTAGAGTTTTTAAAATAATATAGTTAAAAAAAATTATATTTTACCAAAGTAACAATAAAAAGCTTTTACAGATATATTTTTTGAAACTTTTTTGTTCAACACATAATTAATTAAGGTTATATAATACTACAGATATTCAATTTTGAAGAAAAAAAAGGATAAATGTTTTACCCAAATTAAAATTTCCCAATTTTAGAATAACTAAACATATTTAATCATAAAATAATTTAATTTGATATTTGTATTTTTGTTCCAATTTAGTAAGATAACACACCCAAATCGAATTTAATTTACCCGAGAATTTCAGAAGGCGTTCAATTTGCAGAAGGGATGACCCATATTGGTGGCAAATTTGAACGAACCAAAACTGTCACTATGACAAAATCAAATGGTTCAGTCACGAACTACAAAACTCCTGTTTTAATATCGCATAAGTTCAGTTAAATAAAAATGAAAATAAGCACACACATTCGTATAAAAGATGGTAAAAGCCATGTGATCCTTGTGAAGCCAACTTTATACCTGTAACGCAGCAATTTCAATCATGTTGCAAGCTTTTTTTTCACTTCCAATAGCAGCACACTAGGTTAGGCAGCAGAAGTTTAGGATGTTTGATCGGATGGCACAATACGTCTGAATACAGCCTGGAAAGTTTGTCCCCCATTTCTAGCAACCTTTTGGCCTTCTTCAGTTGCAGAGCTCAAGAGCTTAACAACTGGATCTGCCTCAAGTTCTTTCTTAGTCAGGGCTTCGAACATAGGATGATTCTCCAGACAAGACTTCATCCAGTCTCCGAGCTCTTCTACATCGGTTATTGTATATATAATTCCACCAACCTCAAGAACATAAGCATACTCATCTAGCAAGAACGGACTTATAACTCTGCGGCGATGATTCTTCTCTTTAAAATGAGGATCAGGAAACAAGAAAAACATCTTTGAGAGCTGTCCTTTCCCAAAGTAATTGGGAATGTATTTCATGGAGTTAGTTCGCACCACAGAAACGTTTTGGTATTGACCTGGATTTGCTACCCTTAAAGATGAAATTCGTTCCTTGACATACTCAGTAACTTTATCCCTAAGTTCCATTCCAATCATCAATGTTTCTGGGAACAGAGTTGAAAGGCTTATGAGCAGCCCTCCAAAACCACAACCAACATCAGCAAATTGAATCCTTTTGGAACTATCAGCTTGACCAGCCGAGGGAAAGAGCTGAGGGTAATGGAGGGAATAATCAACATGGCTGGGTGATATTGACACAGGGAAGTGAGAGTCACTCAGTGGATTGCTGTGTGCTCGTGCACGATAGAAGCGCTTTCGAGGCAATCCAGTTGACTTGCTGATAGTTGGATTTACTTCGTTCTTGGACATGTCTATTTATTCAAACAGCAGCATGGTAAAAGTCAGAATCTTCGGAATAAAGAAGATATGCTGATGAGTGGTAATCTACTTGTAAAGCTCTTAATATCAAGATTGAAGAGTAAAATCAAGAAACTAATTTCGCCCAACCTACTAAACTGAGAAACCTGTAAACCTTGAAGTGTGCCACATGTTTCATTATCTTCATTTATAATTTGTCCTTTTAAATATTATCAGATTCACAGCAAGGTTTGTTGGATAATTTCAATGGCAAGAACGAAACTTGGTAACAAGTTGCCAACTAAACTTATTATCTCATTAGCAATCAAGAAGGCAACTACAGAAAAAAAGAAGAAAGAAACACGGATCCCCTCTCGGTGCAATTTCTATCAAAAGTTGAAATCATATTGGCCACGGAAGGAATATCCCCATTATTACAAGTTGAATATATATATACATATTTAAAATGGTACGTCCTTCACAAATTTGTTAATTTCCAATTGAAGTGTGGACTGAATAAGAATTGATAAGAGATGTCAGAATTCCGACTAGAACATGAACACAACATTGTTTTCCAGAAAGAATGCAGTAACATGTAAACTTGCTTTGAGGAGGCTTGAACAGTGATAATTAAGACAACAAATTTACCACGAACAGATAGATGTAAATGGTCAACATTCCTTAACTCCCGAACTTACAAAGAAACCATGGGTTGGTTCAAATGATATTCCCAAATCCCATGTTATTATTATTTGATTATCAGTAAAAAAAGAATTTGGATAACTGCATCAACAAACTTCGAATAATCTAAATGTATTTTTATATTTCCCACCCACAGGGTAGCAAATCATTCACACAACATGAATACAATGTTGTTGATTTTTTAAATATATAAAAACTAAACGACAGTGTTTGGGGAAACCACAGAAGTTTGTGGTTTAGGTATTATGGTGAACACCTAGCGTGCAAACCAATTTGAATGACATTCCAGAGACAAAAAAAATGCATACAAGATTTGCAAATCAAACACCAACTCCAACCTATGTTAAACTTGAAAGACGAAGAAAAAAAAACCGTAACTGATTGGCTACAGAGAACAATTCACAATCTCATAACCATAAAAATCATCAAAAGAAACAAAAAAAAAAAAACAAGTTCGGAATTAATAAGATTACCTAATAGATATTTCAGGAGAAAACTTTCAAATTCTTCGAAACTGAATCTGAACGCAGTGATTTTGCTGAGCCTCTGCAAGTAGCGGTTTTAGCAGCAACGAAACGAAAATAAATCGAAATGGAGGGAACTATGTTACGCTCCGTTAAATAGAGGGATTGTTCTCCATCACCCCCACACGTTCTTCTCCACCTCCCCAATTTTCTAAAGCCAATTAGCTCCTTATAAATGACAATTATATCCTCCAAAAGTTAAAATTTTTTATTTTATTGATTTTCATATTTAATTTATTGAAAACTTCTGATTTACTTTCATTGAACCTCTTTCTCTCTTCCATTTTCGTTTACCTTTCTCTCTTTCCCGTTAAGATCTTCTCCACCCTAGAAACAAAGTTAATATTGTAACAAAAGCATATTAACCAAATATTACCGTTTAAACAAACTAACCATATATAACATTTAAAATTAAAATTGTAAATATAAATTACTGTAAAGAAATAAACAAATAAAATAAAAAGAAACGTAAAAGGAACCATGCCTCCTGGACGGATGGA